AAAACGGCACACGGCTTAGTAGGTCTCTAGTCGTCTCCAAGCCGAGGTTGGGGATTTAATGCGGTTTAGGTTGAGGATTTCGGGTTTAGGGTTTAAGGCTTTAGGTTTTAGGGTTTAGGTTTTAGGGTTTAGGTTTGAGGGTTTAGGGGTTTAGGGGTTTAAGGTTTAGGGTTTAGGGGTTTAGGGTTTTAGGGTTTAGGGTTTAGGGTTCCTTCAAAGGGTATGGCTTTTAGGGTTCCTTTAAGGGTTTCTTTCAAGTGCAGGGGTTTTAGGGTTCCTTTACGGGTTCCATTCAAGGGTAGGGGTTTTTAGGGTTCCTCTGAAGGGTAGGGGTTTTCGGGCTCCTTTAAGGATTCCTTTCAAGGGTAGGGCTTTAGGGTTCCCTTAAGGGCGCCTTTGAAGCGTTCTATAATATAGGGTGTTGGATTTAGGGGTTTTAGGATTTCACAGTTCCTTTCAGGGTTCCTTCAAAGGGGTTCTATAGGGTTTAGGATTCAGGGTTTAGGGTTTAGGGGTTTAGGGTTTAGGATTTAGGGAATTTAGGGGCTTTAGGGTTTCAGGGCTTCTTTAAAGATTCCTTCCAGGGTTTGGGGTTTAGGGGTGTGCTTCGAGTCTCCTGGCTTTGGTACTAAACCCGAAACCCGAGGCCCTAAACCCTAAGCCCATTTAAGGCTTTAAGGGTTCCTTTTGCAGGGTTTAGGGTTTTTTTAGGGGTTTATAAAGCTCAGGAGTTGCTTGGAGGAGGATTTAGGTTTAGGGCTTAGGGTTTAGGGTTTTAAGGGGCTCTTTTCAGGATTTTAGGGTTGTTTCAAAGGGTTGAGGGCTTCTTTAAGGGCTTTTGGATGTTGTTAGAAGCATTACATTCTCGGGAGATTTGGGGTTTAGGGCCTAGAGCTTCAGGGGCTTTTGGAGTGTCCTGAGAGCTGAAGTAGTTGTAGGGTTCTTGTTGAAGGGTTTAGGGTTTAGGTTTTCGGGTTTAGGATTTAAATTTAGGGTTTAGGGTTTAGGGTTTAAATTTTCGGGTTTAGGGTTTAGGATTTAGGGTTTAGGCTTTAGGGTTTAGGCTTTGGGGTTTAGGGCTTGGGGTGTGGTGGCGTCACGGGCTTTGGCATCACCGACCATGGTCGATAATGTAGGAACGTGACTAAGGAACCCTGGTCCTATAACCTCAAAATATCAGGGTTCATATAATAAAGCACCCCAATAAAAAAGCCCTAAACCCTAAACCGGTTTCTTCTAAACGGCCCCAGGGCATAGGGTTTCTTTCAGGGGCTTAGGGTTGGGGTCGAAGCTTCTTGAAGGGTTCCTGAAAAGGTTCCTTTCAGGGTTCCTAAGTCACCCAACACCCAACCGTTAAACTTTTTGGGTTGTTTATATTATAAATTTTGTAGTAGTCTGAAGTTTAAACTTTCATTTCCCTGGCTTATTGGGGAAGTAAGGTTTCCATAAGGTCTCTGCATAAGGAGGTTTAGGGTTTGGGTTCTGAGTGTTTCCTTCGGGGCCATGTTTCATGCTTGCTGTAGCCCTAAGCATGACATCAGTTTCACTTTGGGTGAAAAGGTCTGAAAGGAAGGAGTTGTGAGCGCCATGACGCTTTCTCGTTTCTTCGGGGCTATAGGTTCTTGTCGGACTTAGAAGGTTTATGACATGTCGGGTTAAGGGGTCATACCTGTGGATCCCCACACTGTTTCAAGGCAAAGGCCCCATGATTTCCCATAATCAACTAGGCTGTCATGTCGGTCCTACCATTGTGTAGGGTTTGAGCGTGCGTAGGGTTAGGGGCTTGCAGATTTCGGGAGTTGTGGGTGCAGTGCTTAGTGTTTAGAAGTCACTAGTTTTATTCTGTTTTGATAAGTTTCAAAAGCCTTTGCTGCAGATCTTTTCAATCATTTTCACTAAACTACCGTTTCATGGAGCACTCAGTAGAATAGAAATGAAGCCTTAAACCCTCAATCCTAAACCCCAAACCTTGCGTAAACCAAAGCCCCCCCAACCAAAACCGTAAACCGTAAACCCTAATTTAGGGTTTAGGGTTTAGGGAGAAACCCTAAACCCTAATTTAGGGTTTAGGGTTTAGGGTTTAGGGAGAAGCCCTAAACCTTCAACTCTAGTTTAGGTGTTTTTGGACACCCAAGGTCTGGAGGCTGCTGCCGCAGACCACCGAATCGACACCGGGCTGCTTAGGGCTTCAGCGGTTTATCGTCGTTCAGGGCTTACCTGGGCCCATAGGCTCCTTAGTACTTCCTTTTTGGGTTCTTACTTAGGATCCTATAAAAGTTATCCCAAAAAGGAACTACTAAGGAGCCTATGGGGGGATCCAGAAACCTACCGTTTTAGGGGTTCTACCTTGCAATAGGGTTTGGGGTCACAGGTACCTGGGGTCAGGGGTCTAATTAAGGATCGTAACCTACTGTTTGGTGGGGTTTGCTTAGAGTTGCGGGGTTTAGGATAATAGATGTCTGAATACTTGCTTCAGAAAGAACTACTGTGCTACACACTAAGGCTCTTTACTAAGTTGGGTTTAGTGTCAGGTGGTTATGGTTTAGGACTAGGATTTAGGGTGTAGGGAATTCAATACAGATCACGCCCCAGAGTTATTGAGCAAGCTCTTGTAAGACATTCATATAAAGCCGAAATTTGCCCAGGAGTTCGTGATCTTAAGGGCTTTAGGATTTAGGGTTTAGGGGGTTTTTATCAACCCTAAACCCTAAAGGCTATGCCCTATCTTTAAAATTGCGTAGCCCAGGAGTTCGTGATCTTGAGCTATGCCCGGGTTCCTTTGATGGATCCCTCCGCAGCGGAGAACATCCGCGCTGCTCAAGAGAAAATCTCCAAGTTCGGCTGCAATGCACCCCGGTTGTATTGGGAGTTGACAGTGTTTTTCGGGTGCATTGGGATCTCTGAGAGCACCGCAGGATATCAGTTTAATATACTCTAGTTAGGGTTTAGGACTTAGGGTTTAGGGTCTAGGGCTTAGGGTTTAGGGTTTACTATACTATAGTCCAAAACCCCCGTTCAAGAACCCAGCTATGCCCTGCGGAGCAACAGCTTTCGAGGCTCGAGGCTGTGCAGAAGCAGATTAGCAACCCTACCTCGGAATCCAAAAACCTACCGTTTAAGGGGTTCTACCCTCTAATAGTTAAGGGGTCATAACCTGCTATTTTGTAGGATTTGGGGTCACAGGTAGTCCCTAAACCCGCCACCTAGCTAAACCCTAAACCCTGAACCGCATTCCCCAAAACTTGCCACTGCACTTGTGAACAAGAAACCTAGCTGCAGATCTTGTGAACAAAAAAAGCCTAGCTGCAGATTGGCGGAGGTTCTCCACTGTCGCACCAACGAGCAAGTCTTTGGAGCATTAGTTGCGGCAGGAGACCCGCTAGAAAAATGCAGGGCTATGGGATGCTATGAGTTTAAGGCTCAGGGGTTTGGGGTTCAGGGTAGTAATCTGGAAGTTTAAACCTTTGATTTCCCTGGCCTGTTGGGGAGGTTAAGTATTATAGATAATCCTCACATGGGGCATTCTCTAAATTAGGGTCCCTTTTTGGGGTCCCCAATGTAGTACGGCACCGTTATACAAAGGACCCTTAAAGGGACCCCCACCTTCGAGAACTACCCACATCTAAGTTCGCTTTAACAGGAGCGGGCTCCCTGGGTTCTGGGATTTAGGGTCTTCCAAAGTCTACATGGGTTTAGGGTTTAGTGTTTTCTAAAGTCTACATGGTTTAGGGTTTAGGGTTGTCTACAGGGTTTAGGGTTTAAAGGCTTAGGGCTTAAGGTCTTCCAAAGTCTACATGGGTTCGGGGTTTAGGGTTTTCCAAAGTCTACATGGTTTCCAAAGTCGACTGAAAGTCTACATCGTTTGGGGTTTCGGGTTTTTTTCAAAGTCTACAGGGTGTAGGGCTTAAGGTTGAGAGTCTTCTTTCCTCGGAGGAGCCATTCAGAGGCCCTCCAAAGACTTCTTGATGCGCATCCAGAACAACCAGCGCCTTGCCTGGGCTTTAAGACAAGGGTTAAGGGTTTAGGGTTTATAGGGCTTTTAGGATTTATAGGGCTTATAGGACTTATAGGGTTTACAGGGTTTATAGGGTTTATAGGGTTTATGGGGTTTCTCGGGCTTATAGGGCTTATGGTTTAGGGTTAAGTGTGATGTAGACTCAGACTCCTCACAAAGACTTCTCCTGTAACAAGGGCTATGACCCCTAAGCTCAAAACCCCCATTCCATTAACTAATTCAGGATGCTGACATAATACTTGGATGGCCGGGGGACTTAGTAGGTAGATATGAAGTAGAGTTATAAGTACCCTAACAGGGATCCTAATTGGGGTTATGATACTTATAAGTCCATAAAATAACTAGTTACTAAGTCCCCCGACCCTCCAAGTAAGCCCTAAACCCTAAACTTCCCTAAACCCTGAACCCTGAACCCTAAACCCTAAACCCAGAAGAGCCCCCAACCCGAACCCCTTATTCCTTAAATCCGGAAGACCCTATTCCCCGCTCCACTAGTAATATAAGGACTGTAGCAAAGAGGGGGAACGAAGATTCAAGCCCCTACCGTCTGGGGCAAGAGGATGTGTTAGGCTTTGCGGTTTAGGGTTTAGGTTATTGGGTATTGGGCTTTTCAAACCCTAGATCCTACAAGAGCCCGAAGGGTTTCGGGACCGAAACCGGATCAGCTTTACACCTCAAAGAGCCCGTTTAGGGTTTAGGGTTTAGGGTTTAGGGTTTAGGGACAGAACAAGCAGAACAGCGGACGAAAATCCACAGGTGGAGCTTCGTGGGTGAGTCGCTGGAATATCTGGATCCAGAGACGCCGAACAACGACTCCCACCCTGCACCTCGCAATGCAAGGTTTCAGGCAAAGGGCTTAGGTTTAGGAAGGTAGTCCAGTTCAGGGAATTGCAGACAAGCTGTCAAGGTTTTGGGTCAAAAATTCAACCTAAACCCTAAACCCTAAACCCATCATTGCCGATTGGAGGAAATTGTGGGAGCGGGCCTTTGGGTTCAGAGGTTCAAAGGGTCTTGGAAGTTTAAAGGCTTACAGGGTTGTACTTAGATTTAAAGCATATAGGGGGGGGTAGGCCCTAAACCCTAAACCCTAAAGGGTGTAGGGATTCATTAGGGCTAGGGTTGAGGGTCGAGGGTGTCGGATGGCAACCCTGAAACCTCTGAACCCTAAGCCGTTTAAGGTTCCAGAAATCACCAGGGTTCTAGTTACTGCTTGGGGTCTTGGGATTTAGGGATTTTCGTGCCGTATTCCCTTTGTATTTCCGGTGCATCCAGGAAAAACTCTCCAAAACTCGTTAAATGAGGAACTCAAGCACCCACAATCACGGTGAGGGTCACCTATTAAGTTATATATTCCTACATTTAGGGGGCTTGGAGGTTTCTTGAGCCCTAAACCCGAAACCCTGTTCCAAACATATCTACACCCGTAAACCTTCCTGCAACAAAAACTACATAACAATCACTCCTTGAACCCTAAACCCGTTTCTCTGCGTTCCAGGATGCCTTCTTTCATGAAACTGACTGCCTGGATTACTGCGACGAGTATCTGGTGCGGAACTACAGCTACGACCTCTCGGCCCCGATCATGGGGTTGGAGGACTACATGCGTGAGTGCCTCGCTGGGTGTTCCTTTTAGGGTTTAGGGTGTTCCTTAGAAATTCATGTTGATGTTTTGGGTGTTTATCACTGTTTTGGGGCATAACCAACACCAATAAGGATCCCTTTTAAGGTACTTATAACTTTAACTCTACTTAATATCAACTTACTAAGTCCCCCGACCCTCCAACCCTAAACCCCTAAACCCTAAACCCCAAACCCTAAACCCCCTAAACCCCTAAACCACTAAATCCCTAAAAACCCTAGAGCCTTAATTAAACCCTAAACTCAGCCGTAGGCAGCCTTTCGTCTGCAGGTACCGGGCAGTGGTCGAAGGCCAACAAGGTCGGCTTTCTGAGTCGGCCTTCGAGATGATGAATCTTGTCAAAGAGAAGGGGGTTTAGGGTTTAGAGTTTAGGGTTTAGGGCTTAGAGTTTAGGGTTTAGGGTTTAGAGTTTAGAGTTTAGGGTTTAGGGTTTAGTGTTTAATTAGGGTTTAGGGTTTAGGGGTGTCAAAGACTCCCTGGTTCTTAGTAACTTAGTAGGGATTGGAGGCTACTATAGGGGACTTCAAGGGACTATCATAGGGATCCATTAGGGTTTAGGGTTTAGGGTTTAGGCGCTATTTACGGTGCGGCTGTTTCTTTTGAAATGACGAGTCTTGTTGCAGAATCGGTGCTTTATTGGGTCTGTTGTCCTATTCCTATAGGCTTTGGCAGGGTTCCGGAAAGATATGTGTTGTCACAAAGAGGCGTTTTCCTCTAGTTCCCCAATACCCAACGATTGAACTTCTTGGGTTCTTATGATTTAGTAATAATCTGAAACAGTTAAACCCATTATTTCCCTGGCTTCTTGGGGACGTAGGTTCCAGGGTGGTATTCACAACTGTCATGACGTTTCGTAGGGTTCAGAGATGATGCGTCGTGTCACAGAGAAGCATTGCGCCTGGGACTCCAGAGGGCTGCGTAGGGCTTGGGGTTTATGGGGTTTATAGGGTTTATAGGGTGTATAGGGTGTATATAGGGTGTGTAGGGCTTATAGGGTTTATCGGGTTTAGGGTTCCCTAAACCCTACACCCTAAACCCTGTTTGTTTTTTCAGGCCTTCATCGGGTTTCTGTGAAAGTGTTTCAAGGGGCTTCATAGAGTGTAGTCAGGGAGGGGTTCACAGCGTTTGCCAGCTCTTCTTTCCAGAGTTGTATCCAAGGAGTTATCGAGGCATGTTCAGCCTTGTTCCGAAAAGGTGTCCTTCGATTGCATCGCTTGAGACGGGTTCGACGTGGTTAGTAATATAAGAGCATGAACCACTGCTTATCAAACTAGCGATATTTCTGATGGGCTTCTTGACATAATCATGGCATCATACAAAACCCTCGGACCCTGTTCTAGTTATTGAGGCGCCTATGTTCAGGATTCAGACTTGCGGGTCTAGGGCGTGCCAATACATTGGCCAAGACACGTTGTGGGTTTTATGTGCTTATTTGTGGAGTTTAGGGCCCTAAACCCTAAACCCTAAACCCTAAACGAGGTTAGGGTTTGGTGTTTAGGAGTCTGTGATAGGTGCGCAGGGGCGGTATCAATTGCCTGCTTGAGCAAGGAATATGGTTCCTTCTGGGGCGATTGTAACCTTTAGTTCCCCAATACCCAAGCTTTAGACTTTTTAGGTTCTTATAATTGGGTAGTAATCTGAAAGTTTAACCTCTTATTTCCCTGGATTATTTGGAAAGTAAGTAACCATAAACCAGAATTCCGTCCATCCATACCTGGACTTAGGAACGACCTGCCCTTGGGCGTGATGATGCAGCTGAAACCCTTTTGCCAGGTTCTGGAGCACCACGGCCGGTGATCAGAGTTTGGGGATTTAAAGGAGGGACCCCTAGAAGAGACCCCCAATCCTAGTACCCTATAATTATAACCCTTATATACCCCTTATATAGTCTCATAAAGCCCCCATATAACCCCAAGGGTCTCTTTAAGGGTCTCTCCTTTAGTCTTTTGAGGGATAGAAGGTGCCAGACGGTGTCAGAGGTTTGGAATTCGGCCTCAAGGTGGAGGGTATACTTGGAGGGTCGGGGGACTTAGTAACTAGTTATTTTAAGGACTTATAAGTATCATAACCCCAACTAGGATGAATTTTGGGGTACTTATAACTCTACGTATTACCTACTTACTAAGTCCCCTGACCCTCCAAGTAGGCTTCAAGGATAGGAATGCATGCTTTCTGCCTTTCCAATTTGCGACCTGCATTCCCCTACTGGGGCCTCTTTTTGGAGGGTCCCCAGCAGATCACCCTAAACCCTAAACCCTGACTTCTTGCAAGACGGAAAAAGGCCCTCAAAAAAACACCTAACCCCTAAACCCTAAATCTCCAGCCGATCCGCACCGGGATTGTTGCAGAAGGACTCGGCAGAAATGTCGGTTGAAGCAGGATTCAAGTTGAGGAGTTAAAAAAAGCCCTAAGCCCTAAACCCTTAAGAACCTACCGTGTTTATGCACTTATATAAGGAAATCATAAAAAGGAGCCATGGTTCTTGAGGGTCTAGGTAAACCCTAAACTCCTAAACCATTTGGCGCCTAGTTTAGGTGTGTGAATAGTTTCTACCCTTCTCCCTCTGTAGTGCTGCCCTATACCCCGAGGAGCCCCAGAGTAAGTCTCAAAGCCCCTAAACCCTAAACGGCTAAACGCTTAACCCCTATAGCCCTAAACCCTAAACACCCTAAAGCCCTAAACCCTAAACGCCTCAACTCCTAAACCCTGAACGCTTAAACGACTAAAACTATGTTCGGCTCGAAGATAGCCTGGCCCGGCCCCCGAGATAGCCTAGCCTTGATGTGTTGAGGGATCGGTTTTAGGGTATTGGGGTTTTAAGGTTTAGGGTTTAGGGCTTGAGAGCTCAGGGGATTTATTATTAGGTGTTTTCAAAAGAAAAATCCCATTTTGTGTGACCTGCCGGGGTCCTGAATCTCCAATCATGGTATACTGTCCAAACCGTTTACTAACCCCACCCCCCATAAACTAGTACCTCCATAAATACGGTTTAGGGTTCTGGGTTTAGGCTTTAGGGAAACTACCTTAAGATCCCTGTTCTAATTCTCAAACCAAATGGATAGTGCTCTAAATCAGGGCCCTTTTTAGGTCTCCAATATAGTCCGGCACCCTTATAAAAAGAGCCCCCAAAGGGACCCTGATTTAGAAAACTGCCCACATATGTCAAACGCTTGTGAGAGCCCGGCTAAGGGATCAAGCTGCGGGTAAAAACCTGTCGGACGAGCTGCCTAGCATGAGCAGCTTGGCACTTCAAGGGCTGGTCGTTCCTTATATAGGCTTCCTTAAAGAGTTTAGGGTTGAGGGTATTATGGTTCAGTTCAGGGCATGTAGGTTTTGATCGTTCTCTGTAAAGGCTTCCCTTAACAGTTTCGTGTTTAGGGTTCAGGGTATATTTCTGAAAGGAGTCCTGCTAAACGGCTTCCTAAAAGGGTTTTAGGGTCAAGGGTTTAGGACGCTCCCCTAAAGGACTTGTATTTGGGTTATGCGGGGTTTAAGGTGTCTGACCTGAGTTGATAAGGGGTTTTCTAGGTATGTTGCGGCGTCATGGTGCCTTGTTTTCAGAGAACCTTGATGTAGACCGCTGATACATATCCCTAATTATTCCCGCTTAACGGGGTTATACTGGCGATCGTAATCATGTCTAGGAAATTTTCAGGTGGGTAGTTACCGTTATAGAAGCCTTATAGAAGGTCTATTTACCTTATAGAAGCCTTATAGAAGCCCTATATACCGTAAACTCCCCACCTGTAGTTTCCTTTAAAGAAAGGGGGTTTGTGTTAATCAGGGGCCGCCAGGACTGAGAGCACCCCCCAAGATCGCACAAAGCCCTAAAGGTTTGAAGCCATGAAGCGCGAGCACACGCGAGGGTTTAGGGTCGGGACGGAAGGTTCGTGTCAGTTGAGATAGTTTAATAGGGTGTATGGATTAGGGCTCAGGGTATAGGATTTGGAGTTTAGGGCTGCAGCCCTTGGGATTTTGCACTGGTACCCCTAAACCCAAAACCCAAAACCCCAAACCCTTACGCCTTAGGGTTGAGAGTTTGAGGCCTCCCTCCCTTTCAGATCTCCCAGAGCCAAAAAAGCCTTCGAACCAGTGCTCCTGAATCGACTCGTTTAGGGTTTCGGGTTTAGGGTTTAGTTTAGGGTTTAGGGTTCAGGGTTTAGCGTCTAGGGTTTAGGACAGATATGCACCCTAAACCCTAAAACGCTCAACAGACTGGCCGTTGTAGGAGCCTTATAGAAGGTCTGCATACCTTAAAGAAGCCTTATAGGAGCCCTATATACCCTAAACTCCCCACCGTAGTTTCCTTTAAACAGGTCGGGCGATGTGCTTCATCATGAAGGGAGCGCTGTCCATGGTGAAGATCGTGCCCGTAGCGGCTCCTTGGTTAAAGGCTAAAGGAAACAACAGGTGGGGAGTTTAGGGTATATGGGGCCCTATAAGGCTCCTATAACGGTAACTCCGTAGCGCCTCCTTGTTGTTGGTTTGAGCACTGCTTAGACTCGGGGTGTGCTCCAATGACTTTTTGGACAGTACGTGTTTAGGGTTTAGGGTTTAGGTAAGGTCTATGACGAACCATCCACATGACCATCGTCATCCTCATCGCCATCATCAGCACCAGGCTTATTCCGAACATGAACGCGTTCATTGGCTAAGCCGAAAGCACAACAAAGACGAAACCCCCGACTCCTAAAATCCTCAAAGCCGCAACCCTCGACTCGACTCTGATTTCGTGGTCAGAATGAGTCATAGTAGCAATAGCATCCCCTTGTTGTCCTCCTGTAGTTGTACTCTACCACGACAAGAATGCAAGTAATGTACCCCAAGGAACCCAACTCTAACTACGAAGCGCCCCATCTGCTACCCCACCTAAACCGCCTAAACCCTACGTCCCACTCACTTAAACGGCTTAGGGTTTAGGGTTTAGGGTTAACCCTAAACCCGAAACCCCCTAAGCTCTAGACCCCTACTTGAAGGCCGAATCGACGTAGCCACAAGTCGCAATGTTCGGGCTTAGGGCTTTTTAGGGGTCAGGGTATCGCAAAACCCCATGTAGGGAATAATTCTTTAGGGTTGGGGTCAAGGGTCTAAAACCCTAAACCCTAAAACCCTAAACCCTAAACCCTAAAACCCTAAACCCTAAGCCCTAAAACCCTAAACCCTAAGCCCTTAAACCCTAAACCAAAAACCCCAGTCTTCGCCCCACTTAGAGTACTTCTCACCCCGGCCTCCGATCCTCCTAGAGACCCCTGGCCCTGCTTTCCACATACCTTTTAGGGTTCCCTTAAAGGGATCTATAATGGGATATATAGGGGTTTCTATAAGGGTTTCTATAAGGGTACTACAAGGGTTCTACAAGGATATTTCTCGAAATTTAGGGTCCCTTTTAGGGTCCCTTTTAGAAGGGTGCCGTACTATTTCTTGGGATCCCAAAAGGGACCCTAAGTTAGAGAACTGCCCATACAACCCACCTAAAGTCCTGGCCAAATCCGCGAGAGTTTGGGGGTATTAGAGATCTCTGGCCATGGCAAAGTCCGGATTTTAGGGTTTCGGGAGTAGGGATCTGGTTTATGGTGTCGGTTTAAGGTTTATAGGGTTTGGGGTTTATGGTGCGGGGTTTAGGGTTTAGGGTTTATGGTGTGGGGTTTAGGATTTAGGGTTTAGGGTTTATGGTGTAGGGTTTAGGTTTTAGGGTTTAGGTGTAGGGATCTTATCAAGATGTAACTATTACCAGGGCTTTCTGTGTGCTGTATGACAGAACGGGATATGGGTAGTTGTCTGCGTTAGGATCCCTTTTAGGGCCCTTTTTAAAATAAGGGTGCCGTACTATATTGGGGACCTAAAGAGGGATCCCTAAACCCTAAACGCTAAACCCTGAACCCAAACCCAAAAAGGGATCCACTTTAGAGAACTACCCATACCTCTTGGAGTCTTACGGCCCAGGAGAAGCCGGATGTCTTCGAGACACATTCCGCCTTCAGCCACTTGGGGGAGGACTTCGGGTTTAGGGTTTAGGGTTGGTTTAGGGTTTAGGGGTTAGGGGTTAGGGTATAGGGTTTAGGGTTTAGGGTTTTGGCTTAGGGTTTCGGGTTTTGGGTTTAGGGTTGATGTCTTGTGGGTTTTGGGTCTGCGGCACAGGGTGCGCGGTTCAGGGTGGAGTGGGGGCGGGGGGGGGAGGCGGGAAATCATAATCCTAGACCCTAAACCCTAAACCCTAATGTCTTGTTGGGGCTTCCCCGCTTCAAGGTATCAGCGAAGGCATCCTTGAAAAGGGCATCTTAAATTCTGAAAGTCCGTCTGCGGTCTCTGAAGAGTTTTAACCCAGAGGCTGTTGCAAACCCTGTACAACAAATTCGCGCTGTAGTGTCAAACCACGAATCTTCTGACTGGTTCTGAGTAGGGAATGGAGGAATGGGTTTTGGGGATGGGACTACTATAGGGGACCTTAAGGGACTATCATATACCCTAAACCCTAAACCGTAAACCCTAAACCCCTGTTCCCTACTAAGAACCAGGGAGTCTTGCAAAGGAGCCCAAAAGCTTGATGCTAGCCCGAAAACTCTAAACCCAATAAGCCTAGGACAGTTTCAGCTGGGTAGTTACCGTTAGAGGAGCCTTATAGAAGGTCTATATACCTTATAGAAGCCTTATAGAAGCCCTATATACCCTAAACTCCCCAGCTGTAGTTTCCTTTAAATAAGCCCTGTCCCAGATCAACTCCGAAACCCAACCGAGCCGAATAAAGAACTCCTTGAAATATACATGGCTTGCTTCCCCAATACCCAACCTTTACAAACTTATTGGGTTCTTATAAGTTAGTAGTAATCTGAAAGTTTAGTTTTTTTTTTTTTTATCTCCCTGGCTTATTGGGGAAGTAATATAAAGAACTCTTTGCAACTTATAACTTTGCGAAGTCTTCCAGGACATGTTGCCAAACTCCTTTCCGCAGACGTTAACTGAAACCCTTGATTGGAAAAATGCGGCGACTGAGCTCTGAACCGACAAAGGATTAAAGAAAACTACAGGTGGGGAGTTTAGGGTTTCTAGGGCTTCTATAAGGCGTCTATAAGGTATGTGTAGACCTTCCATAAGGCTCCTATAACGGCAACTACCCACCGGAAAATGTCCTAGAAAGGAGCCCTTAAGCAAGAACCGAAGCCTGACGCATGGAGTCTGGGCCGGCGTACCATGGCGAAGCCAGAGAGCCCAATACCCCTTAAGTAAGGAATATAGCTTAAATTATAGGGGCCTTAATATTATAATTCAAGGTATATAGTATTCCTTACCTACAGGCTATATGGGCATAGGCACGGCCTTTGTCCTCTCTTCCCCTGGGGGCACATCAAGGAGGAGAAACCCCTCAAGTGGCTCCTGCACATGTCCGCTGTGGAAGCCCAAGTCGACGAGGAAGCCGCCCGCATGCTACCGGGGATGTGCTTCACACTGGAGCAGAGACAGGGGCAAAGAGCTTGAGAGCTGGGGACAGTGCCGCCCCAACTGGCCCTGCAGTACTACGACGACTGGGTGAACATGCAAAACACGGGGGCCATCACTCAAGGCCTGCCACGTGCGGCGACCCTACCTCATTCTCAGTGGGAGCTCATGGCACAGAGGGAAATACCGCCAGCAGACAGAGTCAGGCGGCGAGCGCAGAACCCGACCTTCGATGCGGAACCACATCCCTCTAGGAGCAGCCCGCCGAGAAAAGAAACCCGGAACAAGTGATCATGAATTCCAAAACCCCTTTGAAACGCTTCTAAATCTCGTGCAAAGCCATGAGACCCTTGATTATAAGCCACCTGCGAGCCGCTGTAAGACCCTTTATAAACCCTCCCCCCACAACCTCAGATCTTATCTGAATTCTGAAGGCACCTGCATTACAAGATATCAAACCCAAAGCTCTGTATCTTCTAGCATCAAGACCCCTGTGTTAATTATATAGATAACCCCTAAACTGTAGCCGCCGTAACCACCCCTAAGCCCTAAACCCCTAAACCCTAAACCCATGGGCTTTAGGGCTTTGGGGTTTAGGGCTTTAGGGCTTTAGGGATTTAGGGCTTTAGGGTTTAGGGTGTAACGTGTAGGGCTAATGAGCACCCAAGGCTTCCGCAAGGGCAAGCGGCTGCTCGCTCGATATCCGTCACCCGGAAAGCACGAAGGGGGTTGAATATGGGACTTTCCGACAATTAGGGGTACCTTATCTTGGGGTCCTTATAATCAGGATCCTATTATTTGGGGGGGTACTATATTTGGGTCCCCTATTTTCGGAAACCCCCATATGATGATCTCATACTGGAAGGCGTGTAGGGTTTATGGTTATGCGCCGGCCTGAGCGTGTCTTAATTTGAGAGGTGTTCGCGGGGCCTGGGGTCTCACAAGTAGGGGGTGTAGTGGGGTTTCTACGCAAGGTTTCATGTTGTGCAGGGCCTAGACATGTTGCATAAGGGTTTTACAATGTTTTACAATGACGGGTCCTTCTGGGGGGCTTTCTCTGGGGTTTCGCATGGGGGTGTTACTAGCAAAGAGCATACATAGTCTCCAATGCACCTCGATTAGGGATCCTCAACCCTAAACCCCCAACCCGAAACCTGGATTTCATAAAGACGTGAAGAGGCTTCAGGAATCTATACAGCATTATTTCAGGATCCTTACTGTTTGAAGAAATGTTTGGGGGTTTCTAGTCAAGAGAGGGGACCCCTAATATGGAACCCTTCATAAACGGATCATTTTTTTGGACCCTGAACTAAGGTACCCCTAATTTCTGAAACCGCCATTTAAGACAGCAATGTACTTTGCACCCGAGTGATTCTGTGCATGGTCAAGGTTACCAAGGGCACGTTTGAAACTTACTTTTGATGCTTGTTTCTGAGGCCGGGCCATGTTGCAGGGATCGAGACCTTCTTCAAGTTCCACAGGCGTAGGGTTTTGGGGTTCGGGTTGGGTGCTCTTGTGGGTTCAGGATTTAGGGTTTGGGATTTAAGGCTTACTTGGAGGGTCGGGGGAAGTAGTAACTAGATATTTTATGGACTTATAAGTATCATAGCCCCAAGTAGGATCTCTGTAACGCTACTTATTCTACTTCATATCTACTTTCTCAATCCCTCGACCCTCCAAGTAGGGTTCATCGGGCTAACATCTCTGAACATGCCTACTTAAAGGCTTATGGGACTTCATAAGGACGGTTGTAAGTAAGGTGAGAATTAGGAAATACATCCCTACTTACTAAGTACCTTGAGCCCGGAAGCACTTGCTGCTTGACTGCCCCTTAGCCCCAAACGGCGCCAAAAGGGCCAGTGGAGGGGTCGGACTGGTTTGTAGTAGTATCCTCTAGGACAGTTTCAGGTGTGTGGGTAGCTACCGTTATAGGAGCCTTATAGAAGCCCTATAGAAGCCCTATTATATACCCTAAACTCCCCACCTGCAGTTTCCTTAAATTGATCCTCTCGCAGTTATACTTTCATGTGACCCCCCCTCCTCCTAGTTAAGGGTCAAGGGTGCTCTTCCAAACAAATTCTACTGCTTCAATGCCCCTGCACTCAACGCTGAACATGGGAATGCCTGGCATGGAACCCTAAACCCTAAACCTCTAAACCCACCCCTAAACCCTTAGCGTTTAAACCCTTAAACCCTAAACCTCTAAACCCCTAGACCCTAAACCCTTAAACCCCGCGCCCTAATAGAACCCTCAAAGGAAGCCTAAGCCCTTAAACGAACCCGAAGCCCTTATAGAATCCTTACAGGAACCCTAAGCACTTATAGAACCGAACAGCAGGAAAAAAAAGGGTACCCTTGTTATAAAGGAGCTACTCAGGGACCGAGTACAGGATCAGGCAAGAGATCATCAGAGGCAGGGTTTGGGGCTCGGGGTTTTGGGGTTTAGGGTTAAGAGGACGTAGGGTTTAGGGTTTAGGGGTAAGAGGACTTAGGGTTTAGGGTTAAGAGGATCTATGATTCAGCTAGAATCTGACATGTAGTCGGATGGGAGAGTCTTACATGGCACATCCTGAACTTCACTGGGAGGGGGCAAGGCAGCGCAGTACCTACTAATCAGCTTATGAACTACGTAGCTTGGCGCATGATTTCTGGCTAAGCCTAAAGCTGCACCAACCTACTTTGGACTTTCAGGTACGCATGTCGTGGTAAGCGTGCATGTATATGTATGTGTATATATATATATGTATGTATGTGTATATATATACATATGTGTTTTATTTATTTATTTATTCATTTGTTTATTCAGTTATGAATTAAGACCATTATGCGGATATACACTCATGCACGTATAAATGCGCAGAATGCATGTGTGCACAGGCACATGTGTATGTGTATGGTTAAATATAAATGAATCACTATAAAAATATATAAGTAAATAAATAAGTGTGTATATATATATATATAGACACACATATATATATATACGTACATATATATATATATATAAATACATATATATATACATA